CAACCTCGGAACCGAACTTCGCGACGTCCAGCTGAAGGACCTCACCGACGATCAAGTCGAGGACCTCGCCGCCTTTATTTCCACTCGGGGCGTGGTCGTCTTCCGCGACCAGAATTTCAGCCTGGACGAGCACCTTGCATTTGCGGCACGTCTCGGCGACCTGCAGGAAACCAACCACCCATTTTCCAAGGGCCTTCATCCCGCCTTGCTCCCCATCGCCGCCGACAAGGACTCCAAGTTCGCGCCCGGCGAGGCCTGGCACTCGGACATGTGCGAGGAGCCCTACCCGCCGGCGTACTCGATTCTCTACATGGAAACGGTGCCCCCCAGCGGCGGCGACACCTTGTACGCCAACATGTACGCCGCGTACGACAAGCTCTCGCCTCCGATGAAGCAGTTCCTGGAGGGCAAGACCGCCGTCACCCGCCGCGGCACCCGGAAGTACCGGGGCAACCTGGAGCAGGGGCGCAACACGGCGTGCTCCCACCCGGTGATCCGCACGCACCCGGTGACCGGGTGGCAGATGCTGTTCACCAACGAGCCCTGCTCGGTCCATCTCGACGGCCACTCGCCGCTCGAGTCGGAGCACATCCTGCGCCTCCTGGCGCAGCACATCGAGAAGTCGCCCGAGTTCCAGATCCGCCTGCACTGGGACGCCCACTCGGTCGCCATCTGGGACAACCGCGCCGTCCAGCACCAGGCCATCTGGGACTACTGGCCCGCCGCGCGCAAGGGGCGCCGCGTCGCCGTCATCGGCGGCAAGCCCTACTACGATTCGAATGGGAAGTCCCAGGCTGAAGAGCTGGGAGGGACTCTATCACCAAGGTTCCTGCGCCACGCCGAGGAGTAAGGGCCGGGGACATCACGCACCATCAACCATGCTATCTATTCCTCCCACAGAGCCAACAGGAATGCGGTCTTTTCGTCAGTGTTGGCTGCGTATCGACGTCTCTTGAACCCCCAAATGTCAAGGTAGAGAAGGGGAAAAAACCCATAACGCCGTAGTAAATAGGCTGACAGAAAATAATACACACATTTGTCTCCTCTCGACATAACTCGCAGCCTCTAAGCTTGATCCTGCCCACCATTAATACATAGGTACCCATCGTGGTGGCCGTCCTTTTTACTGGCTCAGCAGCCGCAAATAAGATGTCTCGTCGTGGCTATCCCTAAGTGGAAGCCGACGCGAAAACCCCCATTGCGATTCTAGAAGCCCACACCATGGCTTGTAGGGTTACAAGGATCATTCTCTGGGCGGGGAACGACATGCAACATGCCCCCGAGACATGGGGCCCCTCCATATGGCAAAGGGGATATGTGCTATCTCCGCAGCGAGACACACGCGAGGCGTGGCATCCTGGCATCCTGGGGACGTGGCCTGCATCTCTATTTTCCTCGCTAAAAACAGCAATTCCTTGAGGTATTACATTATCATGTGGTCTATTGTAGGTACTGTTAGGTTACTCTGGGGCAACCCAGGCCTGAAAACTGCAGTTCGAACACACCCAGTACACTCCATGCCCGAAAGAGGTGTGAAATGTGCCGTTCGCGACACCGGTGGCCGGGCAGTGACAAAAGAATCCTGTGTCCTTCTGCACTTTCTTTCTCGGCGGAACTTGTTGGGATCAATAAGTTCCGGAGGCGAGGCCTAGACTTCACGAATCCCTGGTTGTCCTCAGATGGGAGGGTCTCGTCCATCAGAATCTCAACGCCTTTCCGGCCTAACCGCTTCTAGGAATTATCGCGACCCACAAATTAAAGCCTCGATGGAGCAATCATGCACTCTCGCTTGTGCTGATGGGCTAGACTGTCAGTTGTCTCCTCGGCACAACTTTCTCCGGATGCCAATCGTTTGTGGACTGCGGCGGAAGGAGATGTGCTCAGATCAGGCGCACAACTTATTGATACATTGAATTGTGTCCCAATGAACTTCCTAGATCAATTCACGAGACCAATATCCCTAGACCTCCCCATCAGATACTTGCTCGCACTGGGTCTCAGGTCGAGACAGGACTCCAAGGAGACTGACAGGAGGTCCGAGGTCTTGTCTTACCGCTCCGCAAGTATGAACCCTGGGTTGCTGCCAATTTATGCGCAATGGTGTCCATGAGTCAAACGTCAGTGTTATACCTTCAGCCTGTTTTTTGTTGTCGCGGGTAAGAGGCTGCTGGCTGTTCGCCAGAAAACTGTGCGTTGACGGTAACTGTTCATACAACACCTTGAGCAGATGCTGTTTAAAAGACAACCACCGGCAGAACCACAGCGACCGTTCCAAAGCAAATCGTTTGGATCTTTTGACAGAGTTGGCATGAAACTCCAAACACATTCAAGGCATTAGCCAGTGGGCCTTGTCCCGATTGTCCTGTCTTTGTCCACGGCCATTGATGTGATTATGTCTCAGGTAGAGCTGGAAGAGGAGTCTGATGTCGGGCGGTGGTGCCGAAGTTCCAGTTGGAAAGCAGATTTCGAGCTTGGAGCCGCTGTTGGTCATCGGCTGCCAGGGCCACGACGACCTTGACGGCCGAGAGTGTACGTACAGAGTCACCACAGAAGGGACTGGCCAGCCTTTGGTACATTGCGACCTGGAGAACGGAATCCGAATAAGAGATGATCGCCGATCGGTGACGGGGAATGGGAGATATTGGGTCAAGACCCATCGGAGTTGCATTTGATGCCGCGATGACCAAGAGGATAGAATGGAGAATGATCTTAGCAGCGCCGTATATAGCGATGCAATATGAGGTGAAAGTGTCGTCGTAAATTTCCGGCTTTGAGGTTATTGTCAAGGAGAGTTCTTGGAGTCGCTCGTGTCTAGATGACACCACGGGGATGATATTGGGGCTGTCAGGCAATTTCGAGGTGACATCGTTCGCTTGTTCAAAATGCCACCTCCAGTCCTGTAGTCTAGACATGAGCACTAAGACGTCCTTTTCGATCTGGCACTTGGTGTCAGCACCCAGACCGGATATGTTGTGAATGCAATCTCGTAGTGTTTGGCTCTGCTTCCCTGGTGGCAGCTGCAGTACACGACAGAAGGAGAGGAGGATGTCAATGAGAAAATCTGGCGATATCTTGGGGTGATGCGTGAAGGGAATAGTGGTCCAATCTAATGAATCGAACCTGGAGGGCTGATTCTGCCAGAGGGAGTGAAATGCCTGTGCCTCTAGGGTTAGACGTCCACTTTGACAACTCGACAAAGACAGAACATGTAAGGCAAGATCTTACTTCGTAATGGCGCAGTGACCGAAATATTCTATGACCGATTCCAGTGCGGCACTCAAATGGTCCTCTCCTACAGATCATCTCGGCGGCTGCGTTATAATGCGCTGACAGTACATCCGCAGTAGTTTCTCTCATTGTTTCAAAGTATTGAAATAGCAATGGCACGCAGATTGCCAAGTCGGATGGAAGAATATTCGAAAAGTTCCCGTCCGAACCAATTTCGACACATGCTTTTGTGTGAGAGTGCTGGAGGGTCGTCCGGTGGCACTCTAGGCCTGCCGAATACCAGCGCATGGCGTCCATTTCGGCTTGTTTGTGGCCATATGCAACCGCAAAATAGACGAGGGCAGCGGCCCGAATGGAATATTTCACTGATGGCACGAGCTCCATGGATAGGAAGTTGGGCAGCTCTAAGAGCCAAGACTGCGGACAATCCGGATATGTGGCGAAGCGTGCTGTGGAAACAGAATGGACAAATTGACCGACGAAATAGTGCTCGAATACGTTGTTCGAGCACATTTGTTCGGTTATAGGGCAGCCGGGGATGTGCTGCCAGACATTCTCTTCGGGCGTGCTACAGGAAGGGGACGAATCGTTTCCAGGAGTAGTATTCCAGACATCGGCACTGTCCTGTTCAGCATTGTCCTCCCAGAGTTGACCATCCTCGATAGATCGTTCATTCTCCTCCGCAGAAGATGGGTTTGTGTCTGGTGTTTCACCATGGAAGTCCACGATCGTCGCCGGAGACACGAGGGAGTTGGTGGCGTCTTTTGGGGAAGCGGGCTGCTTTGATACTTTGTGTTTCTTCTTTCTCCCTTGTGTGATTTTTTCAGTCATGTCCAGGAATATAGTTCCCTGAATAGGGCCCGAACATGACAAGCCGAGTCGAGAGCATTCTTGACAGGACGGCGGTCTTCCGTCGCACTGCAATGGCTCTGAAAGTCAGACTGCTCCTCTTTGCCTCTCTGCTTGAATGAGGAGGAGTCGCTGCAAATGGTTGGGGAAGAGCGACGAGAGCGACGAGAGCTCACCTTGATATGACGCTGGACGCATTGTTTGCATCCTTTGCTCCGCGGTGGCCGACTCATGTTCTATAGACAGTTTTTTGCAGCACATTTGGCTGGGCGGTTGGTGTTAGTCTAGGCTCCCTCTTCTGACATGTTCGTCAAGTGTTACAGATTGATATAGATTGTTGGCCGAAGTGAGAATTGGAAGGATGAGGCAGCGTTGTATGCCCAGTAGGTTACAGAAAGAAGAGAAATGGTGGGTGCTAGGTTCTTCTCCGGCCAGCTATATCAAGACTTGGTGGGAGGTGAGGTGGTTGAAGAATTGGGGGGGGTGGAGAAGAGCCAAAGTCCCGGCAACTTATGCAGATTCTCAATGACCTAGGCCCAGCTGGCATGGGCGAGAGAATACGGGTCTTCAGGCCTTGGTAGCGCAATGGTGAAGCCGCCCCCGGCAGCATAGGAGACGGCCTCTAGGCAGTGTGGGTGGTCGCGACGCCTATTTGTCGGCACCGGTCCCCTGGGAAGATCACGAGCGTTGTGTGTACATGTACCAGTCCTCGGGGTGTGGCAGGATGCGGGGAGAGGCTGGTGAGGCAGGTGGCTTACTGGCGCTGTGAGCCTCGTGCGTCCAAGCTCCCTCCGTCATGCACCCCAACCTTATCTGCGCAGGGGTGTCTGCGATAAGGTTGCCGTGCAGCTGGTGGCGCCCTGCGGTGAATGCATGGCTGCACCGAGTGCTCGGTACATATGACACCATCTGTACCTGTTGATCGCAACTTCGCCGCATTTTCCAAAACTGTCCACATATCAGTTGCTTCCGCCAAATAACCCTGCAAGCTGCCTCAGTCTCATCCACCCTTCCTCCTCCTAAGCCACATCTCACCATGGTCCGCAAAACCTCCTCGGGTTTCTTCTCGTCCATTCACGAAGACATGCCTCTCCACGTATCAAGGGGCTATGACCGAATAGTCCAGCATACTGCCTACCCATCCTCCTCGATACCTCCTAGTCCCCAAATAGAGAAATTCTTTCCTGAGAGATATACCCAGCCGTACCTGGACTTTATGACCCAGAACCCGACCATCTTTCACGCCGTGGACCACTTCACAAAGAAATTAGACAGGGCCGGCTATGTGTATCTATCAGAACGTGAGCAGTGGAAGATTCAGCCCGGCGGGAAATACTATACAAAGCGGAATGGCAGTGCATTCATTGCCTTTGCTGTCGGGAAAGACTACAAGCCTGGAAATGGCGTTGGGATAGTCGCCGGTCATATCGATGCTCTCACTGCAAAGGTCAAGCCAGTTCCAAAGCTGCTGACAAAAGCTGGGTACGTCCAGCTCGGTGTCGCACCCTACGCCGGGGGATTGAACATGACCTGGTGGGATAGAGATTTGGGTATCGGCGGCAAGGTTCTTGTGAAGAACGACGATGGGATAATAGAAGAGAAGCTTGTCAAACTGGACTGGCCCATTGCAAGGATACCAACACTTGCACCCCATTTTGGAGCAGCTGCCATGGGTCCGTTTAACCTTGAGACCAACATGGTCCCGATCATCGGACTTGACAATTCGGACATTTCGGGAAAGGAGCTGCCATCACTGAAGCTACCTGCCGGAACTTTTGTCGCAAAGCAACCAGAGCGTCTGGTGCGAGCGATTGCAGGACGATTGGGTGTCAAAGAGTATACTTCTATCGTCAACTGGGAACTGGAGCTTTTCGATATCCAGCCCGCCCAGCTTGGCGGCTTGGATAAGGAGTTCATCTTTGCAGGCAGAATCGACGATAAGCTCTGCTGCTTTGCTGCTATCGAAGGGCTTCTCGCCTCCCCCGACGACGCTTCCCCCGGTATCATTAAAATGGTTGGGTGCTTCGACGATGAAGAAGTCGGAAGCTATTTAAGGCAAGGTGCACGATCCAACTTCATGCCCAGCGTCATCTCGAGGATCTGCGAGGCCTTGAACGACTACTGTGGTCCCAACCTGATCAATCAGACCCTGGCAAACTCATTTCTCGTCTCTTCCGATGTGATCCATGCTGTCAATCCCAACTTCCTCTACGCGTACTTGGAGAATCACTCGCCGCGCCTGAATATCGGAGTGGCCGTCTCCGCGGATCCTAACGGACACATGACAACCGACAGCGCCTCCTCTGCCTTGTTGTCACGAATTGCTGAGAAATGTGGTAGCACATTGCAAGTGTTTCAAATTCGAAATGACAGTCGGAGCGGTGGCACTATTGGACCTATGACTAGGTATGTTCCTCCAAAGCCAGATCTAGAGTGATGGATGCTAACTATAGGGCGCTTGAAGCTCAAAATTAGGGTGTCGCGCAATCGACTGCGGCATCCCGCAGTTATCAATGCATTCTATCCGAGCAACCACAGGGTCGCTCGACCCCGGTCTCGGAGTGCAACTATACAAAGGCTTTTTCGATTATTATGAAGAGGTCGACGCCGAGTTTGCCAACTAGCATGCGCAGGATTATGTAAAGGGTTGTAACAATACCGCGGCACATAGAAACTAGAGACTCGCGATTGTCGGTTCAATAGAAGCTTAAACCAGGCTCCATTTCGATTCAAACACTTTAGGTGTAGCTACGTCCGTGCACTGCCTGGAAACCAATCAAGCCCCTATCGCATCAGAAACACTTCAACCGAGGTATAGACAACTTGTTCACAGCAGCTGGTGGAGATCTGAGCAGCAACATTGGGGAAAGTCACTCAGGGCTATAGTACGGACATGGCTCACCGTTTAGTTGATTGTGGAAATGAGAAGAGTTTTTCAAGTCTTTCTGCTCTGAGCCGATCGAACCGATGATCGAACGTGTTTACAATTCATTTGTTTGCCCACAATTCGCGCGTTCAGATTCTCTTCGGAAACTCATAATCCTCTACCTCCTTTTCGAAAAATCTGCTTGTGGCCGAGGATTAACTCTGTTATCGGAGTGGATCTTTTGTTCTCAGTTACTTGTTTGGCGCTTTTCTCGAGGACCAGCAAAGTAGGGAGCTGCTGCAAGAAGCCAACGCGGAGTCCTTTTCAGTCTCCTTTGTCTCAAATGCTCTGAATAGATCTCCAATCTTTGTTCAATTACTAAGGTCGAATCTTCAACCTTTCAGCATTGCGCACAGCATAAAGAGTTAGGCCCATGCTTTGTCTGAAGGTAAAAGAGATTCTGTCGTCTTATATATGAGGGAGGTGAGCTGCTGCGGGTGCATGAACCTCGTACCATTCAGAGGAGAGTCCTATCAGACACATTAGTCCACACTCGGCCTAGCATAATACATCCCCAGAAATACATAAACAGACAAGTCAAATCTCCCTACCAACATCCACCATGGCTTCATCAGCCTCAAGTTCGACACAGATTGAACCACCCTTCGAGCAACGTCTTGCCCTCTCACACCTTCTACTCGAGTTGTTCAGGGCGATCGACCATGAAGCAATCTTTGACGCTAAATCGAGGGACAATGAAGTGATGGACCTTGAAGAAGGAGAAATCCTATCAAACACGAACATTCACCTTGAAGAAGATGAGTTCCAGTACCCAGAAGAGCTAACCATGCATATTGTCCTCGCAGATGCGTTGCAGTATCTACAGGTGCGGAAACTGGGCTTCGTCGCCAGCCGAGAGGTGCGAAGCTACTCCTACGAAGAACTTGTTGTGTCTCTGAAGAGGCATCTGAAGTCGTCTCAGCCCTGTCGAGCAAAATATCAATCTGCGAACGGCACATCGACAACCAAGAGCGATCGGACATATAACCGCGTCCAACAGGCAGTGAAAACAGTCATTGCGCAATTGGAGGAAGGGAATTGGCCGATTGAGCCAGTGGCGAGGTACGCATGCAGTGATGACTCTTGCGCAAGGTACGGCGATGCCAACGCACCATGCAGGGTGCAAGAAAGCACACGAAGTGGTCTATCTTCCGACAGCGAAGGTGCATTTCCCTGTCAGAAAACCCATCACACGGTAAGTCCCGCTTCTATAAAACGATCCCCAGGTGCCATTTCTGCCTTGTTTGCAAATTCGAGTACACGGACCCCATCCCAAGTGACAACCCATTACACTATCGAATACATCAAAGAAAACCGCACAACTTCTTCGACCCCAATCTATGTGAGAAGATCCCCCGGCGCCATTTCCGCTGTTTTTGCAAACCCGCACCCAAAGACTTGGTCTCCGGCAGAGAGTAATTGTTCCATCACGCCCAGCGAGAGCGCTTCCCAAGTTCGTTTCCGAAAGGAACGCGTGGCAAAGGGATCCAATCCCATAGTGACAACATCCCAGGATGAACGTCTGAATACGGTAAGATACATCCGCAAGCCAGGATCACTCTCTGCGATATTTAATGATCCACAACCACACTCTACACCTTCGTTTGAGCCAATGAAACCAGAATTGGAGAGATCGAAGATAGATATCGGGGAAGGGAGGATACTGGCGACAGCAGCAACCGGAAAACAAGAGCAAGAAGGCGTGGAGAGAGCATTAGAGAGGATCGATGCTTTGATCGATGACTGGTTAAAGGAGGAATAAGCTGCCACTTCGAAGTGTCATTAGGGGTTGCAGCCTCGTCGTGACCCCTCGCCAAGCCTTTTCCCATGAACTGTTCTGCCTTCCGAGGTACGAGACGTTGGATACTTCTAATCAAAAATCCAAGATTCCAAGGTTATTAACAATCAAGACAACTTGTTTCCGACTTCCCAGCTTGACCAGAGTCTAATACTTAAAGCTAAGAACTCCTTCCACGGGTATATCTCTCTGGCTTTTGGTTGATATCGCCTTGGCTACTTACAGATTGCCCAAGACTGGTCGACATTACTCCAATCCTAACGAGACTTCAACCTTGGGTTGGAATTCTACCGTGTCTCCAGAGCGCCTGTGTCTCTTCCACTCAGTGGATCCTTCAATCTCGGACTGACCATGGACACCATCCCGATCAGCCGCTGCAGCCTCTTTCTCCGAGCTCTCCCGGAAGACAGCAAGCCGGGCAATTGCCTAGGATAGACAGGGACGTGGTCTCACCGGCTCTCGACGATGCACCTACTTCCTTGCCCTTCCATCGCTGGTCCCAATTTGGGAAAAAGAGGCCTATTGGCTTTGGAAACAGTCACCATACGAGACAAAGTTGAACAGGTCGGTAAGGTCCCCGGGGCACAGCACAGCAGCGATGCCCCCTAACCCACAGTCTCCACACGAGGTTTGTCTGCATTTCCGAGGTTATATGCCCAACAAGGTAGGGTGGCTCTCTCGGTTGTATGTCATCGCGGGAGAACACGAATACGAGGTACTTTTGCTCTGGGCACCCCTTCAATCTCCCAATCAATGCAATCGCCGAAAGTTTCCTAACCACCTCCATTGCTTGCTCTACGCAAATCATCAAGTAACCTTATCACATCTGCATTTTGCCGCAGCCCAATTCCTCACGATTTCACAGACCGTCGACCATTCCCCCGCACTTTCCCCAGGTCCACGCGCGCGGGCCTTGCCACGGGCCAAGTTGAAACGTGGGGCTTCAGGCCAAGGAGTCCTTCCCTAAGCGATGTCATCGGACTGGAATCCCGCACGCAAGCAACCAATTGCCCAGTTGTTGATCGACAAAGATGGATAGAGCCCAGCCTTGGCTTCTTCTTGACCTGCATTGCCAACACTTCACTTCCCCAAAATCCAGCAGTGTCCCCCCCGCATAGCACCCAAGTTTGAGTCGATATCCTCGGAATACAGCAGTTGTTGATACTTGGCGAACAAGGCAGATAACCGAAGACATGGATTGCCGAACGGTATCCAGAACGAAGCCTTTAAATGTCTGGTCGGGCTGGTCCCGGGTCTTGGTGTCTTGTCTTTCACCATCGGGCTCTTCTCTTCCTGGGGTGTTTTCTCTCCTTGATCGTCCCCATCTCTAAGAGTTTTCACGCCTCACGTATCAATCTTATTGCCATCTCGCTAGATTTTTGAGGCAACATGTCGGATTTGGAGAAACCAGAAGCCATACAGGCTGATGCCACGCCCAAGAACCCAGACGATGACGTGACGGAGCTCAAAAAGACCATCACAGTCGACACTGTTCACAACGATGAGGCCATGAAAGTCCTTGTTGCTTATACTGGCGAGCAAACGTGGGACGAGAAGGAAGAAAAGAAAGTCCAGAGGAAGATCGATCGACGGTTGCTTCCGATCCTCTGCGCCACGTACGGGCTGCAGTATTATGACAAGGCCATGCTCTCGCAAGCGGTACGTGGCTCGACTGAACTCGTCCTTGACTCGATCTTTTTGTACTCATCATGACGTTCATAGGCACTTTTTGGGCTCCGAACCGATCTCGAGCTCGAAGTCGGCAACCGCTACTCGTTCTCTGCAGCAATCTTCTATCTGGGCTTCATCGTCGGTGCATATCCGGCCATCGTCATGGCCCAGCGTTTCCCCATTGAGCGAGTTGCTTCTGGTATCGTCTGCGTCTGGGGGATATGTTTGATGTGCACTGCTGCTTGCCACAACTGGCAGAGCCTCTACGCCCAGCGATTTTTCTTGGGCTTTTTGGAGTCCGGAATCAGTCCCATGTTCATGTTGGTCGTTGGACAGTTTTACAAGAAGAATGAGCAGGCATTGCGGATGGGGTAAGTCAAACCCGTCTAATACATTTCACTTGTCCAGTTACTAATAGATGATCAACCTGAAGAGCCTGGTATTGCTGCACCGGCTACGTCTCGATTGTCTCACCACTGATCAACTACGGCCTTGGTCACATTCACGGCTCTCTCTCTCCCTGGCGCTATATGTACTTGGTCGCTGGAGCTCTCACCATAATTTGGTCTGTTGTCATCCTCTTCTTCATGCCTCCTGACCCTATCCGCGCACGGGGCTTCAACGAACGGGAACGATATATTGCCGTGGCTCGCTTGCGGATCAACAACGCCGGCGTGCGCAACACACATTTCAAAAAGGAACAGCTCTGGGAACTCCTGCTCGACGTGAAGTTCTGGATCGTCTTCGCAATGGCATTCCTCATTATGATTGCAAATGGACCCGTCTCGACCTTCACCCCAATCATCATTGCCAGTTTCGGGTTCAACACGTTGAATTCGTTACTGCTGGTCATGCCGGCGGGTGCGATCATCGGGACAATAGAATGGGTGGCGCCTTATATTGCGTACAAGTTTCCCGGAATGCGAGCTTACCTGGTTACGATTTGCGAGATGGGCACGATCTTGGCCAGTCTCCTGCTCTGGTTGTTGCCGAGAGATGCCACGGGCGGGTTGCTGTTTGGGGCGTACATCCTGGCGAGCTTCGGAGGCGGCTATGCGGTGTTGATGGGCATGCAGATCGCCAACACGGCCGGGTATACGAAGAGGAGTTTGGCAAGTTCGGGCATTTTTGTGGGCTATTGTCTAGGTATGTTCCTTTCTTTGCCTTGTCTCAGTGCGATGCGATGCCCATGGCGCGCCGGGCATCCCCCTATGTCACACTACGTGAGACGGCACACCATATTCTAACTCTGGAACCCTAGGCAACTTCGTCGGTCCCCTCCTCTTCAAACCTGAGGACGCCCCCGTCTACGCACCGGGCTTTATCGCCGTCGTCATCACCTCGGCAGTCGCCGCCGCCCTGTCCATCGTGTATCGATTCATCTGTGTCTGGGAGAATAAGAAGCGCGACCAGGCGGGCACAATGGAGGCGTTCGAGCACGCTTACGAGGACGATTTGACGGACAAGAAGGTACGCACCACTGTGCAACGCTTACTATTCCGGCACCTACCTCCCCTTCTTCCCAACCCTTGAAATGCGGATTGCATCATTTCCCTCTTTTTCTTTCCTCGCGTTGTGGTTATCAAATGAGAGTGCTGATCGATGATTCTTGAATGCTACAGAATCCGCAATTCAGGTACACGCTCTAGGCCTTGGAGTCCTGTCGGGCGGTATCGATGTGCTAGACGCGCTTAGATTGCAGCTTGGATCTGGAGTCACCCGACGAGCTGCTGCCGGGGTCTATTGGCCTCCCAAAACTGCTCGTCAGCCGGCCAAAAAATACCTACCCATCGAGATAGATGTACAAGACAAGTCCTTGACCAGTAGCCATTCGTAAGATTGATTTCTATCGCGGTGGCGGCTGTAGCGTCACGCATTTCAAGCCGAGGGTATGATTTCCTTTTATCACATTTGTTCGCCGCTTTCTGCTCGTGGCGTCTTCTCGATTCCTCTCCGCTGCTTCGTCCGTAGCGTAGGAGACCGCGGGGTCGTGGGTGAAGACATTTCTAGAACAGTTAGCAAGCACCATCCCGTTTCAATGTGCTGTGGTTTGTTGCCTTGGAAGGCAGGAGGGAGAGACGCCATAAATTATGTTAGGGTAAGGATTATGCCATTGATTGTAGGAGAAACATCGGGCCTAAGATATTGGAGACCAGCCTCGCATTTTCCTTCTCAACCTACAAAAGCGCCTCCCAGTTCATCACATTGTAAGCGTTCTTCACAGTGGTCAAGTCGCTCTGTTTGATGCCCAGCTCCTCCCTCGTCAACAGACCCTCCTCACCGCTCCAACTCTCGTCTCTCAATTCACTCCACATAGCCATCATGATGCCCATTTCCAGCCCGAAGCCAGGCCAGACGGCACTGAAATCATCCAGCGAAGTTTGCACGTATGTGGAGGGCTTGCCGGTGACTTCGGACCAGTCGCTCAGCAGTTTCCCCGTCGTGGTGTCTTCGCTGTGAGCGAGGACGAAGCGGCCCTGGGGACGAAGCGTGAGGCCCGGTTGCTTCAGAACGGAGAGGGCGAAAACCCCAATGTCCTTGTGCGGGTCGCCGATTGCCTTGATGGGAGTGTCGGGCCGAGCTGGGGACAGTTGGACGTATGCATTGGCGGTTTTCTGCGCACCCCTTGGTCAGCCACTGGGGGACTATGCAGTATACACACGCAATAAGCTGAACGGGCTGGGCTTACCAAGAAATTCGGTGTGAATATTGGGTAGGCAAAGTTATTCCCATACCAGGTGATCCAGAAGAAGGTTGTCTTGGCGAGTAAGGCTTTATCAGAGCGGATATAGTCGTCGATCCGGTTCTTGCCTTCAAAGTGTGGCACGATGTACTTGCCGTCGGTCAGCTTATTGCCGTTGGGGAGTGTGCTCCAGACGTAATGTTCCAGAGTGGCTGTCTTGGAGGCGGCTCTGGCCATGTTGATTCCCTGGGCGACTTCGATGTCAATTGCCCTTTCGGGCCCGTGGGTAATGAATGGCTCAAAGAAATCAGTTATGGCGAAGATGGCGTGGGAGCCCTATATATTCTCAATGGTTAGCGGTTAACCTCACGAATCGAGGCGCAAGTTTTCGTACTGCAAATGCTCTAATCAGTGATTGCTCGTCGTTGATATCGGCCTTGACGACTTCAACGCCCCGCCGGGCCAGAGCAGCGGCCTTCTCGCTATTGGGATTGCGGGTTAGACCTCTGATCTTGTAGGTGCCATCTTCGAGCGCCGCATCAATAAGAGAAAGACCTTGAGTACCCGTGGCACCGACAACGGTCAACAGCTTGGCCATGATATCTGAGCAAAAGTAGCCTGTTGTTACAGAGTGTTTATGAATATGAGATGTGAACTGAAGAAAGCCTTTGAATGTTTCTGCCTTATGCTGACTTATTGAGGGCTTGAGATATCTTCTGCCTCCATGAGAGCGAGGCGTCGAATTCTTATACCTGGGGCCGCTTGGCTCCTATTAACTTACCTTCTGAACGACATACTGCTAAGCAATTCGATCGGGTAGCGTCCTAGCAGTCTGCCTGGAGTAACGCCATCACCATGCTCTTGCAACACAAAGAGCAGCAAGCACAGACGAATACGAGAGATGAATAATGGAGGCTTTTTTCGGCAAGATTTGGATAGCTTCTCACACGAACTCGGCCAGGGTTGTCCAAGCAAGCTCTTCCAAGACTTTGCTTGTATTGAGCCATTACTAATGAGGTCGGTGAAGTCATTGGAGGGCCCAAGAGTATCGCTTTTTGAGGAGGAAAGAAGCCAAGGCACATAACTATCCGAAGACTAATCAGCAGCAGCAAGGGCGTGGTTGTGCTCGTATACAACCTCATTCGTTAACCCGTACACATTTCTGTGACTGGTGGTGCAGGTGCACAACATGACGCACTCGTCAAAAGTTGCTGGCACAAATCTGGACTATACCTTTTTAGGCAATTGGAAGTCTAGCAGTGATCACGTGCCACACGCACCATCTTCCAGACGTCTCCGCGGTCGGGCAATTTAAGGTGAGCTTGAACGTCGCACCTCCGAGGAAGTTGGCGGGCTGAAGGCAGGCACTTAGAGCAGCCAGAGATATCCCACTGCGCTTGGAACAAACAGCAACGTTCTGTTGCCCAGCTCCTGTGCGACGCATTATTCATCCTTACTGCCCCTCTTCGCGCTATCCTTGATCCTCGTCTGCGTTTGCTCTCAGAGACCTTTGCATCCGCGATGGCGGCGAGTGTGGCCTCCAAGCGTCTCTTCCAAGAATACAAGTCCCTCCTGACCAATCCACCCGATGGCATCACCGCAGGTCCAGTGAGCGAAGATGATCTCTTTGTCTGGGAGGCTTTGATCCAAGGCCCTGAAGGCACTCCCTTCGAAGGCGGCATCTTCCCTGCAGAACTCAGATTCCCCAAAGACTACCCTCTGAACCCGCCCAAGATGAAGTTTCTCGGCGAAATCTGGCATCCTAATGGTAACAATTGAATTCGTGATTGCCCAAGAGCACTTCGACTAACGATCGACAGTCTACACTAACGGCGAAGTCTGCATTTCCATCCTGCACCCCCCCGGCGACGACCCAAACCACTACGAGAGTGCCTCGGAGAGATGGTCACCTATTCAGAGCGTGGAGAAGATCTTGATATCTGTCATGTCAATGTTGGCCGAGCCGAATGATGAAAGTCCTGCAAACGTGGAGGCAGCAAAAATGTGGAGAGAACGACGGCCAGATTTTGAGAAGAAAGTAAGAGAAGGAGTGCGACGTTCACTGGGTCTATGATTGCAGCATCTTGCTACTCGACCGCGGGACAAATGGCCGGCATCAAACTCCAGTCATTTATGTCCTACAAACAGAGCTGTTGACTCAGTCTTCCTGTCAACCAATCCTCAAGGCCACCTTGCCCCTCATCCAGGCTTTGAATCTCGGCCTTTCGGTTCAACATGAGCATCCGCTGAACTTCAGTGACCGCCTCTTGCAGACCTGGCAGAACTGTACCCGTTTGATCGTGCCATTCCTGGCTCGCCAGCAATCCGACGGCTGCCATTCGGTCACGCCTCGACAACGGCACCGTGGGGTTACCAATTGCTTGATGCAAAGCAACATCTTCTGCCTTAAGGCCTACCCATCTCATCTCTGGGATATTGCAACCATGCTCTTGTGCCAAATTCCTCGATCCATATAGATAGCACTTCAAAATTCCGACCCCGTCCGGATCCCAATCGAACAAGCCAAATACTGGGATGGAGGATGGAGAGTGATCGAGAAGCCGGCGTAGGAAATATCGAGTGGCTATGTCGGGGTATCCCTTAGCCTAGGAGCCAGTCAGCGCTGAATTCATTTTGGCTCGGAAGGAGATGCTCCACGGTAACCAAAAGGCCTGGGCCAACGATTGGGTTTCGATGGAATTTCCTTTCGGTCAGAGCATTGAATGTTGCCTATCTTGTTGTCAGCAGAGTCATCTCGAGAAGGGTTCTCTCAACAGACTTCTTTCTCTATGATAAGGATCCAGTTGACATGTCCTATGGCGGTAAATGCAGTGTTCGCACAGATGGTCTGGATGACTGGTGCATGCTCCCCAGTTCCAGGGTCACAGAGTCCGGCAACGAGGCCTTTCGGGCTTGCAACCTGAGCGAACACAATGAGATGTGAAGGTGAACATGTGGAAGGACAGTCCCCATACGACGTTAAGATCTCGTCTCGTCACCTGGCAAGTGTGGGCAATGTCGTCGATGTATCGATCCACGGTCTCTTGCTTCTTGAAAAGAGCCACATCGTGATAATAAATGTCCCTGGCTCCGAGTCAGAGGCAATTCATTTTTCGGTTCTAGCCGTGACTGACCTCTTTGTGATTGTGATACCTTGCTTGATTGCAACCAATATCTCACGCAAGATTCGCCCAACACATGCTCATCAAGAGATCAGAGCTGCTGCACGCGGTAGGCACCCATCACTTACCGAATCTCCACGCTTCGGCCGTGCTCTGGCCCGGAAAGTGATATTTGACTTTTCGAGATTTAACGTGCCAATTCAAGCGGCTTGGTTCACCTTCGTCAAAGGAAGGTCTCACAGCCACTATCCTATTCAATGCAATGACCGGCTTGCCATGGCCCGATGGCTCTCTGATCTCTTGTATAATGGCATTGAAGGTGGCCTCGATGTAGTCAAGGACGAGCTGGTTGGCAGCGCTGATGTGAACTCCGGTCGACTGCGACGATCGATCGAATGGAGAATGCTGAGATGAATCCATGGCCTAGCATCGCTTAGTAGGCTGTATTCCACAGGTCATGTACACATGCTGTCAAGAGGAGACAGGGACAGGCGAGAGCCAAGGCTGAGCACTGCCAGGGGCCATACCTTGAACCTTGCAGTGGCTGGCCAAGACAGAGGAAGTAAGACTGCGCCGTCGGCAATATGCGGCTAAACCTCGAGCCCACGCCCAGGACCTTCCCCGTGATGCCCAGAACAAACAATGACGAAGGCACGATTCGCCCTGGCCCCGACCAGCCAATCTCCTCGCTACGGTTCCTGCGTCGCCCGTCGATCCTCCGAGTGGCCTCATTCTTTATCGATACTCGCCAATTCTTATTGTCGGTGTACTTGGAACGGTGAGCCCGGTTGAGGGTTTATCGTGCTTTGTGCATCCTCCTTCACTGCAAGCAGGTCCAATCTGTCTGAGCCATGTCCAGCCCGTTTTAGAGATCATTCTATTGAAGATGGTACAAACCAGACAGTCCTCGCAGAAATTCGCGGGGCGCGTTGCCAATGGCGATGCTAATGGAACCGCCAATGGCCACATGAATGGCCACGCCCTCACCTCAAGCGTCGAGCAAATAGATCGATCCAGATGGCGACTACTCGATGAATCAGGACGGCATACCTGGCACTACCTCAGGACCGACAAAGAAGTTGCAGAATGGCCACAGTCGGCCGCAGACAAATATTACCTGGGGTTGCCTACAGTAGGTGCTGATTTCTGCACAGGTTTAACTATTCGCTGACAAGTTAAGGATCTCCCTGACCTCCCTCCTGCCTCAAAACCATCTGAATCGATAGACAACTGCTTGAGCTTCTATTCACAACTGCAGCTCCCTCCCGGCAACTGGGCATGTGAATATGGCGGGCCCCTCTTTCTGATGCCTGGCATCGTATGCTGCTGGTACGCAACTGGGACACCCATTCCGCAGGAGTATAAAATCGAAATGAAAAACTACCTCTTCGCAAGACAAAACAAGGACGGCGGATGGGGACTGCACGTCGAAGGTCACAGCTCAGTTTTCGGCACAGCCATGAACTACACAGTTCTGCGAATACTGGGAGCTAGCGAGGAAGATCCAAGAATGATCAGGGCAAGAGGGAAACTTCACGCAATGGGAGGGGCAACCAATGGTCCTCACTGGGCCAAATTCTGGCTCAGCGTTTTGGGAGTCACCCGCTGGGGGATTGTCAACCCAGTTCCTCCTGAACTATGGCTTTTGCCCGACTGGGTGCCGATTTCTCCGTGGCGGTGGTGGGTTCACATGCGTCAGGTGTTCCTCCCCATGTCTTACATCTGGTCCAAGAGATTTACCGTGCCTGAGAACGACCTCATTCGATCGTTGAGACAGGAGCTGTTCGTTCAGCCATACGAGTCCATCGATTTCGGGGCGCATCGTAATTCGATTGCCGCCGAAGACAACTATCATCCAAAGTCCTGGCTCTTGAATTTGATCATGTTGCTCCTGGTGTGGATATGGATTCCCTTTCTCAGAACAAAATCAATCGCAGAGAAAGCTGAAGCTTGGGTTTGGCGACTTGTCCAATATGAAGACCACAATACGGACTATGCAGACCTTGCTCCTGTCAACGCCCCCATGAACACACTCTGCTGCTTCATCAAAGATGGTCCTGACAGCTACTCGTTTAAAAGACACCTCTACCGCCTTGAGGAATATCTCTGGGTTAATAAAGAAGGGATGCTTGTCAATGGGACTAATGGCGTTCAGGTTTGGGACACATCATTCACCATCCAAGCCTGTGTCGAGGCTGGCTTGGCCGACTCGCCGAAGTGGAAAACAATGCTTACCAAAGGATTGCAATACCTGGAATCTGAACAGATCCGCGAAGAAGTCCCCGACCGGGAAGTCTGCTACCGCCAATCACGCAAGGGCGCATGGCCATTCAGCACCAAACTGCAAGGCTACACCGTCTCCGACTGCACAAGCGAGGCACTCCGTGTTGTCCTTCTTCTCCAGAATGGCCACGGCTACAAACCGTTGATTGATGAGTCTCGCATTCGTGATGCGGTTGACGTGCTTTTGACCATGCAGAACAAACACACCGGTGGCTTTGCCAGCTACGAGCCTCAACGCGGTTCCGAGTACCTCGAAATGCTCAATGCGGCTGAAGTCTTCGGGCGAATTATGGTGGAGTATGACTACCCCGAGTGTACCACCGCCGTGGTCACAGTCTTGTCGCTGTTTCAGAAATTCTATCCGGACTATCGTACCGCTGAGATAAAAGCGGTCAAGGAGTCGGCATTGCAGTATATCCGTCGCGCTCAAAGAGACGACGGGTCTTGGTACGGCAGTTGGGGTATCTGCTTTACCTATGGAGCCATGTTTGCCCTTGAATCCTTGTCTTCAGTGGGCGAGACCTACTCCAATTCGTCACGCGTCAAGAAAGCATGCGAATTCCTAATCTCGCATCAAATGTCCGACGGCGGTTGGGGCGAGAGCTACCGTGCCTCGGAACTCAAGATATGGGTTGACCATGATCAATCGCAGGTTGTGCAGACGTGCTGGGCCGTCATTGCGCTGATGTATGCTGGATACCCTGACCAAGAGCCGCTCAAAAGGGCGATCAAAATGGTCATGGGTAGACAGCAAAAGAACGGGGAGTGGCTGCAGGAGGCCATCGAAGGGGTGTTCAATTGCAGCTGCATGATCACTTATCCGAATTACAAATTTTACTTCCCTGTCAAGGCGATGGGTATGTATATAGCTAGGTGGGGGGACGAACAGTTACTCTGAGACTAGAGCGCACAATTGTTTGTGCAGAGGTCAAGGAACTCGGACGAATTTGTCCTGGAAACACAGCACAAAAGATCGCATTGACAAAGGCGTGGGGAACGAGGCCAGCTCGATTTCTTGAGGGACATCAGAATCCAGGTCTTGTCTCGGTGGCCGTCACTCCCATAACGGCAAAACTAATGATTGCTCATCTCATAAGTCCAATGGCTAAAAGTCGCAGACGAAGGCGCTGCATTTCAGGTTGAGGACATCCTACGCAGATGGCGTTGGAGGCGCCGTCATTAGAGCTCAAGGAGAGTCTTAGGTTCTATACCTGGATCCGAGCTTCTAGATACTTTTCCCACACGTCCTCGATATCGTTCTGGTATATCCACGGCAATCCCTCTTCGCTCCCAAACGATGCCATCTTGATCTTCAGAACAGACTCAAACGACTTGTCAAGAGCATTGCTGAGCGCCTCTTTTGCCATTCTCTTTTGTTCGTCGAGATATTGATACCTGAAAACGGTCAGCTAATCGGCCATACACGCAAGGGGAAAGAGACACACATTCTGAGATAATACGGGGACCGGATCGCGTCGAAGATTTCAAAGGCTTGTGCGAGGCCTTTGGGAGTGTCTCGAGTGTACTCGATGGCCCTTGCCAGGATCCAGCCGTCCTCCAATGCAAATGCGGCTCCCGAACCGAAGGCTCCTGGTCCATGATAAGTACCACTTACCCCCGATATGGTGCGTCCAGAGACAGCGATAGATCCATACCTGACAAAGGATGACTTGCGTCTCCGAGCAGCACCACTTTGTCCCAAGCCGTGAGTTTCTCCAGCCTGGGGCCTGCAAAGGCCGAAAATTCCTTCCACTGCCCTTCGGGAACGAGGGACAGGACATCTCTGACTCGCGGGTCAAACTCCTATCATATATTAATACTTTCTACGTCAGGGATGAAGAAAAGGCACTTGAGCAAGCTCACCGTGAAATGAGACTGAACTCTCTGATTCGTTGCAGGAATGCCCCAGCTGAATCTTTTGCCGCCCACAGTCTCTGGATCGACGAGATTCCGACACGAGATTTCAAACATTCTCTCATTTTCACTGAGCTCTTCTGGATCATCGACCGGGGATAGATAGACGTGGCCCGCAGGACCGTACCACCAGGACGTCAGCGAATTGAGCTCATGTTGGTAGGCAACGGCGCTGATCGGTATGAGCGTCCGCCAAATCGTGGTTCCTGTGGCCCATCCCGACTTAGCATACGACCACAACGACTCGGACAGCATACCTGTGAATTTGATCTTGTGATCAGGAAAGATACTGTCTCTAACAACCTTGAACCGTCTCAGATGTCAAGACTTTCCATCACAGAGATACGAAATACTTACTGAGCGGATACCGTCTGCTCCCACGACAAGATCAGCGGTGGTCTCGAAACCGTCTTCAAACAGAAGTGATACCCCTCCGTGTGGAAGGTTCTTCAACGCGACAAGCCGCTTGTTCAGCTTGATCGTGCCGGGCGCAACCTGCTTAATCAGCGCGGATTGAAGGCGAGTCCTCCTCACTCGTCGTGGTTTATATTGGACAGGCATAGAGGAAGACCTCGTATCGATGATCTGTCCGTTCAGACCGTTGCTAATGGTGAACCCAAGTCAGAACACCATTGGTCGAGATGAATGAGATAGTCATGGCTGATTTGCAGAGCTATCTGACATACCGATGCAAGACCGTGGTTTTCAGATGCCCCTTGACATCCTGTGCGGCGCCCATCAACTCAAGCACTCTCCAGCAGTTATACCCAATGCGAATGCCCGCGCCTATCTCTCGCAGCTCCCTCGCTTGCTCATAAACGGTCACTTCAACGTTTGGGAGGGCTGAGAGTGCTATGGCGGCACCCAAGCCAGCCGGACCGCCGCCACAAATGGCCACGCGGAGCCTGTTGGGTTCGGGAGGCAGTTTCTGAGCCACCATCTTTCAAAGATGTGTTTTCTTGCGATTATCGATGCAGAGATACCATGGCTCTCGGTAGAGGGAGAGACATTTGGTTCTTATCTGAGCGCAGTAGAATAAGCCATAGACGCTGCATGAGGGAGAGAATCCCTCCCCAACACGCGTTTGTATGACGTGCTTTTGGAATGGGATCGCACCACGAGTCTTCTCTGCTGTGTTATCAGTGGAACAACGGCGAACCGCGGCATTCACCGTGGGCCTGGCGAGAGATGATGTTTTGTGAACGTCCAGCCCCGACTTCTTACCTGTGACCCTCATAGGTGACTTGTTTGTCCGAGCACGGATGGTATTATGGCAAGATAAGCCGTGGCTTGGCTAGAGGATGTACAGTAAGGTATCCGGCTGTCAATGGGACCATTTGTTGTTGAACGGTCAAGCATAACCGCATCCTAAGCTCTGAGAGATGCGCTCCCTTTCCGGGCAGCTTTTGAGGAGGACTGCATTAAGTGTGCAAGGTTCAGGTGTAGGGGAAACGCCCTTCCTGAGGCCGTGGTGTTTGGGCAGCTTTTCGGCTTCTTGCTCTCTCCACTTAGCCACCCTCGAGCTGCCCCCTATCCTCTTACCCCTATTCGTTAGCTGTGTTTAATTCTCAGCCTCACGGCTTTTATTAACCCCATTCCCCGGGACGGGCCTCCCTCCAGGGTCACTCATCACGGTTGCTCGAAAAAAGCCCGGCGAATCTGAATCAAACCTTGTCTGCCACTAAACGAACCAGAACGAAACACCAGTGTCATTCGTTCCAGATGGCTAGGAGGCACGTGAAAAACGCAGTCTACGTCAACAAGCAGCCACAGGTACTGACTGATCGTCTCGGAGCCGCGAGATTCGATGGCTTCGCTCCGGTTATGTACTGATTAGCAGCGACGTCAGCACCAACCATTTAGTTTTGCGGGAAGCCGACCTTCCAACTCCATTTCTCCGAGGTACCGAGGTGCCTAATCTGTTATCTATATCGACAATATATGACATGCTTCCGACTGTTTTCCATTCTCCTCTGCGTCGGTTTCCATCGTTAATGTGAGATTGCAAACTATCGGCAACTCTTTGGTATGTATGCCTTCCACGAGAGGGGCAACACTTAGTCACATCTGTTCTGAATACCGGGCGTGATAATTTCAAGCACAGGATCTAGACCGAGATGGATAACGACATCGAGCTAGCCTTAGATTCCCAAACGCCTCACGACAGAGACCGGGTTGAGAGGGGTGGAGGAAATGCCGAGCCCACTGAGGACGCGCTCAGTCCCGTTGACGGGGGTTGGGCTGCCTGGAAACTGCTTCTCGCCGCATACGTCTTCGAGGCATTGCTCTGGGGTGAGTCGTGGGGAGATATGATCCGGCGCATATTGCCAGGACCTGTCCACTAACGCGGTGTGTAGGCTTCCCGCTGTCCTTTGGAGTCTTTCAGAACTACTACTCGCAACTGCCCGAATTCGTCAATCAGCGGTACATCTCCGTCATCGGGACGATCGCTTCAGGCATGTCCTACATGGGCGCTCCGTTGATCATCCCAGTGTTGAGACGGTATGCCAAATACCGGAGGCAGATGATATGGTTTGGATGTAGGAAGAGCACGCGAAGCTGATCCATTGCTCGGCTGGCTAACCAGCAGCACAGGGACATTATGTATCCTGGGAATACTGTGCGGGTCCTTCGCCAGCACCGTCGGCAGCCTTATCTTTACCCAGGGTGTCATGTACGGCGTCGGCTTCATCATCTTCTACTACCCCATCATCAGCATGGTCAACGAATACTGGATTGCACGACGGGGCATGGCGTACGGATTCCTGTGCAGCGCATCCGGATTCTCCGGCATCGTCATGCCTCTGTCCCTGGAACTTCTGCTCCACAGGTACGGGTATCCGACGACATTGAGAGCGGTCGCAGTGGGCCTGGTCGTGTTGACGGCGCCTCTGATACCCCTGCTCAAGGGACGCCTGCCTCCGTCGGCACAAAGCTACACGCCGAGGACCAATTGGGCTTTTCTCAAGACATCCCTCTTCTGGATCTACACGGCCTCGAACCTCATGCAGGGCCTCGGCTACTTCTTTCCTTCACTCTACATTCCTTCGTATGCCTCGACACTGGGCTTGAGCTCGAGGCAGGGGTCTCTCCTTCTGGCCATCATGTGCGTCTCACAGGTCCTGGGGCAGTTTAGCTTCGGGTATCTTTCAGATCGGAGAGTCCCCGTCACGGCTCTGTCCTTTGCGTCGACCCTGATTCCCGCTGCGGCGGTGTTCGCCCTGTGGGGGTTGGCGCGCAATTTCGCCATGTTGGCGGTCTTCGGGATGATCTACGGCTTCTTTGGCGCCGGGTACACGGCCTTGTGGGCGCGGATGGGGATGGGCGTCACGAGCGACGTGACTTCGGCCTTTGCAGTGTTCGGCCTGTTCAATTTCGGCAAGGGCATTGGAAACGTCCTGGCCGGCCCGATCAGCGCCAACATGCTGTTCAACCACACAAGTATTGGACGGTATGGGATAGGAAAGTATGAGGTGCTCGTGCTCTTCACGGGCTCCTGCATGCTCGCCAGCGCGGTGAGCATCGCCATCGGCTATCTAAATATCCGGAAGTTCTGGCTCCTAAATTGAGACCGGTAAACGGGTCTCCCTGTTGCCATCTCACTTCGGAGGAAATTCAGTAGCGATAGACTTCATTGAACAGATGGCGTTTCTAGAGGTAGCACACCGATATATTGGTCGCAGATCTCTCGACCGAGTGGCAGGTTTTATAGGTACGCTATGCCAACTCGGCCTGCTTTGACTCTTGTGTCTTTCCGATCGCGGGGCTGCCAGTCAGCCAGAAATGACTAGATCATCAGGCAACAGTTGCCTTGGCGTCTTCAGCCTCTCCTCGCTTCCGCAATCCAACATCTCTCAGCCAGAGCCTTTGATATGTACAGCTCCGGGGATCCAGACGACCACTGTAGCAGAAGACGGTCAGACGACGGTCGGACGACGAGGACCGTTTCGGGTTGCTGGAGACAAAGCATGAAAGTCCATCCGCAAGTGGAAGGCTGTAAAATGAGGAAGTTTGAATACGACGAGCTCCTCGGCGAGGAACACGTCCGCATATTAGACTTGCTTCCAGGTAACAGAGACGACGTGATCCGCTGCCGTCTCACGTCGGAGCCTCGTCAGGACGCCGCCAATACCTACAACGCGATTTCTTACACTTGGGGCACTTCTACGGACCGAGCCGAGATCATCTGCTCCGACCAGATCTTGTCCATCGCGATCAATCTGGCGGATGCTCTGCGAGAAATCCGAAGCAGAAATCCAGGAGACTCGCAACGTCTGTGGGTGGACGCTATCTGCATAAATCAAGAGTGCAGCAAGGAGAAAAATCACCAGGTCAGGCGAATTGGCGAAGTGTACCAAGATGCGAGGCAGGTGTTTGCCTGGCTTGGCCCTGACCAGGACGGCATGGCGAAGGACTGTTTCGGTCTCCTCGAGAAATGGGTCTCATATCTTGACGACCAGTTCGACACTTATAAGCACACACGGAACATTCCCACACTCAAACTTCCGCGCCACCTTCTGAGTGACACGGCGGCAGATTCGAAGCTGCGGAAGCTCATGGACTCTGCTTGGTTTTCGCGCGTCTGGGTTCTTCAGGAGGCAGGCCTTGCCAAGGCGTGTCAGTTGCTTTGGGGCAACCACAGCATGAGCCTCGCGGTGCTGGTTGAGTTTGCGTGCTTCTGCGATGGGCGCACCGACGTCGCGCGACTGGTGGGCGGTGACGACTCGACGTTTCGATATCTGCGGCTCGTCTTCCTGTGCGTCTATCGAACTTACAAGAACACAGAATCCTGGAGACGCGAAAAGCCTTTGATCCGGTCCTTGAACGACAAGCATCGCGGTCGTCCGGGACTGTTCTTGGACATCTTGCAGATTGGCAAGGGCCTCTCGGCAAAAGATGCTCGTGACCATATCTACGCCTTCTCGGGCAATCCGCTGGCCAAATCTCCTGACGGGAAGCTATTGGTGGAACCAAATTATGACAAGGACGAGGCAGAAGTGTACCTTGATGCCATGCTTGCGTTCTTGAAGAGCAGGCACGAATCCCCATACGTCCTTTGTTTCGTGCAGCATAACTCCGCAGACGAGGTGAGTGGGAGCGAGGGCCCATCATGGATTCCAAGATGGAGGAAGCCTCGCACAGACCTCATGCCATATTTCACTATAGGCAATATAGGATTGCCGTTCGCGGCCGGGGGGTCTGTCGACAGGTTGCAGTATCGAGTTTACAGGGGTTTTCGTGGGAAGAGGCTTCTCGGCCTCGCGGGATTTGTTTTTGATCGTCTAGCTTGGACATCCGGACTTCTCAACCCCGACAACTTTGCTCTCGACCGCACACGATGGGATTTCGAGCCTCGGGAGCCGCAACAGACATATATCGACAAGTTGTGGAACGACGTCTTGCTCGCAACCAAACGACGATCCGGTTCCTCAGAGGTGCCGAAGAGTGCTCCGATTGACGACAACTTCAGCTACACTCTGGTCACAGGCTATAACAACACCCGAGTGGTGAACCTTGACGAACACCGAAAGAGGTTCCGAGAATACCTGCGAGCTCTCGAGAACACAGACCCTCGCGCGGACCGCCGCAGAGAGGTCGCTCCGGCATCGCGAAAAAGTATCTGTGAGGCTTCTCGCTACGAGGTCAGCACGCGCAACTGTCAGCATCGGCAGCTGGCAGTGACGGAATGCGGTCGCTTCGCCTTGGTCCCGCGGTTTGCGGAGCCTGGAGATGTCTGCGGCGTGTTTCTAGGGATGGTCACGCCGTTTGTTCTGAGGCAAGTGGCAATAAAGAGCGAGGACGAGGGCAGCCATCACCATCTCGTGGGAGAGGCATACATTCAAGGCGTCATGCGGGGCGAATTACTGGACGGACTTGATCTCGGAGATGTAGAAAAGGAGGAAGTCGTGCTGATGTAGGCTAGATTACGGCCCTTGCCGGGTGAAAAAGGTGGGTTTCGCAAATCTATACCACTTCTCGGTTCCAGAACCACCCAATGTCCTGTTCCGCCCCCGTGGGAGGATAATGCCTCTTCTTCAGCTTTTGACGTATCAGGCCCAGATGCCGCAGTCCTTGCATTAGCGAGTCATCGTCAAATCTCGGCGTTGTGTGATCTGATTGGCATATAATTCGGATGGTCCAAGTCCAACTAGCTTGTAGACTTGTTTTTGACTCTCCTCCAGCCACCACCTGGACCGATATCAGAATCGTGACCCCGCACCGTTCAAAGGTCAAAGGGTGAGTTGCGAACTCAAGTCCGAATTCACAATGGATTTCGAACAGGAGGTTCTGAAGTTCAAGTCCCTAGATTTCCACCCCGACCAGTTTGAGTTCCTCTCAGAATGTCTCGACAGCCACAAGATTTGCCAGAGAGCTGTCGGTCTCGAGCAGAGCCTGCCCAAGCGCCTGCTCTACTTGGGCAAACCCTCGGGGACGGCCTTCCCTTCGCGGCTTGTGGAGACCAAAGACATTGAGGAGAGGCCGGTGCGCTACGTGGCCTTGAGCCATAGCTGGTCCTCGTTGTCGGAGGCCGAAAAGCGCTCCATCAAAACGACGGCCGACAACAAAACGCTACGTGCCCAGGCGGTCGACATCAGTGCCTTTCCGGGCAACTATCAGGCGGTCATGGTCATGTGTCGGAGTTTCGGCTACGAGTACTTTTGGATGGATTCGATATGTATCTTACAGGTGTGTATGGTCACCATTCCTTCCTTGGCCCGGGGGTGATGAAGGGTTTGGTGAAGACGACTTCTTACTCACACCATTTGTCTTGTTACCATAAAGGATGACGACAAAGAATGGCAGGATGAATCTGTCCGGATGAAACACGTTTACGGCGCGGCTGTCCTGACGTTCGCCTTGAATACGTCACAAGCCATTTTTGACATGGTCAGAAGCAATAAGGGCGCACTTGACTGGGGGGATATAACAGACGAGTACGCCAGGTCAATGTTTAAGATCGATCTCCATGCAAAGCGAATTTTCGAGAGCGGAATACTTGGAAGCCGAGCATGGTGCTTTCAAGAGCGCCACTTGTCGCCGAGACTCTTACACATCCTGGACGATAGAGTCGTCATGTACGAGTGTGCGCAGGCCACGATGGCTACCAACGCACCGGATCTGTTCGGGTTCAGGTCCTTCAGACGCACGACTTCCGGTGAGAAATTTTTCCAACTGGAATCCAGTTTGCGCAAGCTTGCCGTGAACCAACGGCTAATTGAAATCAAAAATGGGGCTCGGTCCGGCTTGAGGGTGCACTTGGAGTATTGGCCTGGCTATTTGTTGGAATACCAGCGCAGGGCGTTATTCGACAACAAGGACAATTTGACAGCTCTAGCTGGTATTGCAGAGTCGATGCAGGCGGAAGGACACTGGACGTATCTGTCTGGAATCTGGAAAGAAGACTTGCCCCGGGGAATGTTATGGGAAAGCACGGCTTTGTCTCAAACCTCACATAAACGGTTTCGCCCCTATCATGCGCCAACATGGTCCTGGAGCTCCGTGGATGGATCAACCAGGACTGTTCCAGAACTAGTGAATTCGCACGGCGGTGTTTTCGGTATCTGCGAGAGGCACAAAAGGGACCCCGAGCCATTTATTTCCCTCATTTCTGGAATATCTATCAGGACCGCTGGGACCGGGCTTGACGTCCACGTCGACCCCTTGCCGCCGGGCTCGGCACTCGAGCTCGAGGGCATCCTGATACGGTGTAAATGCCGCAGACTCGACGACCAACACAAGATCACCGGTTTATTCAAATCCGAGAGGACCTCCATTGTTGCAGAGGGGACTATCGCGTTTGACGTAGATTCAGAGGCATGTGACGGTCCCCTCTGGTGCCTCCCGCTGGTGGAGAAACATCTGAAACCCGGCTGGGTTAAAGAGCCTGCCTTGAGGGACTGCTTGGGAATCGGCCTTCAAAAAGTGAGCGTGGAAACACTTCCCGGTCGAGTCCGGACGGAGAGTCTCGGGGAAGGGGAAGGAGAAGGAGAGGAATTGGTCGACAGATCCCAAAGGATGGACCTGGTGCAGGCGGAGAGCCTCGAAGACCATGAAGAACGAGCGATCGATACCTTTCGCAGGGTGGGTTTCGTGCGGTTGACCTTGACAGAAGGCGCGTGGACGGACCACTTGTCAAGCCTAGAGCTGCTTCGCATAATATAACGGGAATGGCTGTTTTGGAGCTTTTCTGATTGGAGGTTCATGGAGGCGAAGGCAGGTGTCGAGATTCGGGCAGCGTGGACGTAAGCTTTAAATCGTGATACTCTCTTGAGACAAGAGTCACGATCTCACGCTTTCCTATCTCGGTCCATGATCCTTCCATACTCCAGCAGCATTCTCAGCCACACCAACTGCAGATCCACCGGCCTCAGAGCCTTGCCAGCCCAGTCTCTGCTATCCCGTGCGATTCGGGCCGCAATCTCGTCTCCATCCTCGGTCGTTGCCAGAAACCTGACCAGCTCCGGCAAGTCCTCAAAACCCGTGCTCACCGGGACATAATGGACCCACGGAATCAGACGGTCATCGTGCCACTCTTCGAACACGGTCTGTTTGATGACCATCGACTTGGATTGCAAAAGTCGGTAGAATCGCCCGCTGAAACTGTTCCCGTCCAGATCGAGCACAAACTTGTGCGCGTATGCCGCGGAGGCAGGATCTTTGACTTCTGGGTCCTCTACCCCAAATGCTTGCTTCTGGGCCTCGCAGGCGGCATGTTCGCATTGAGACGACACTCCCACGATACGAGTGGAAAAGAGCGAGGAAAGTTCCGACATGTTCGATGTGTAAGGCTTCCACACACCGGACTCTGTTTCACGTAATAATCGAATGGGCGTGTCCGATCCATCTTGTGTCATGAGAGTCATGCGCTGGCGCTGCATTTGTTTCCAGTTGGACTCGGTTGTATGCCCGCCAGTCGCAGCACCGACCCAGTAGAGCCGAGCCACTTTATCGGTCCACTCTGGATCTTGAGCTTCAACGTAGTCGCTGCTCCTGGCCAAGTAGTACGGGCTAGGGAAGACAATGTCGTTAAAAGAAGAAGGCTTCCCCTGCGACCAGACTGGGGCAAGTGAGTGCGTCAGGCGGAGAGTTTCTGGGGCTGCAAGAAATCCCTCCAGCTGTTGGAGGTCGCAGTGTTCACAGATGTTCCTGCTCTTGGTCAGGTTGAAAATAAAATCAGGACCAGCTTCGGACACGGATGGCACGCAAAACGGATTTCTCGCTGGGGAATTAACTGAACACGACAAGGTCATGGCTTCCCAAGCATCCTGCTTTCCAACATCAAGAAATCTCGGGGAATGCGAAATATCCTGCTCTGTGGTATCGGAGAGGCCGCTTAGATCAAAATATTTTGATACGGCCCGCTCCAAAGCCTTGTCTATCGTGTCTCTTGGAGCGCAGACAGTAGGTTCGTCAAATATGTTAACCGCAAGGGTCATGTTAGGAAGGAGCGCAGCCCATTCGGGGGGCAGCAACTGAGACATCGATCCTGCAAACCAAGACGCTGTGTGTCCGCCTGTAATCGAGATGCTTCCGTCAAGAATCTCGTACTTTACCACGAAACCGGAAAATCGTTCGTGGATGTTCATAACAAGCTTTTGCAACACTGACGGCGCCACACCCCAGAATGGCTCGAACGTGCGCATGATTGAATCGAACTCGTCTACCAAGACAAAATCATGCTGGATTGCGAGGTCGAACCACTTCCCGAAATTCGGTGGTGGCATTCTTCCAAACCGCTTGGCATACTCTGTTGTCGCCTGTTCTACTGTCCGTGACTGTGCGTTAAGCAAGTCGGAGAATTCTCTGCGAGCATCCTGGACGATGGCTGCCACTGGGTGCATGCTCGCCGTCAATGCCGGCTGCACAGACTCTGTCGAATGATGACGTTTGGGATGGTTTCGACTCAACAACGGAATCAAAATTAGAAGATAGAGCCAGTTTCGATATTTGCGGCTAAGAGGGACACCTGTCACAGACTGCCAAAGAGCCACGATACATGCGCTGAAGGCTGAAAGAAGTCTCAACTCTCCGTCGTTTCTCGTAAATAAGCCGAAACTAGTAGCCACAGTCTCGAAAGTTGTTGCCGTGGTAGATAGCTTTTCGGAACACTACCAACAGATTAGAGTCTCCACATGAACAAAGAGGGTTGCATTACCAAAATGAACAGAGATATCCAAGATGCTGACTCACTGACCGCTCGAGAAAGATTTAATAGACTCGGTAGGGGCGAAGTTGAGATTGAGTAAGTGAGGACGCAGGTAAAGAGTGCAATCAAAGAAAGGGATAGCTTCTTGAGTAAATCCCGGTCAAGCAAGACGTGCACATTGGGAAATGGCGACTGGCTTCTGAGGCTCAGTCTAGAAAGTGACACAAATATGACCGTCTGAGCAACGACGAATAGAATGTTTGTTGCGGCCGCAACAGGATCCAGACCTTCGGGATAGGAGACTGCGCCTGCAAGGAGCAGGACTAGCAAAATATTCACAGGAATCCGCAAGGGTATCCGCAGAGGCAAGACAGGTTCGTCGATTAGACTGAGCCTCTGGAAATCCTGATCGCTCGTTTCTTGAGCCGCTTCGAGCAAATGATGGTCGTCTGTGCTGGATGGTGTGGTTGCCGCAGCGAAAAGAGTGGCCAGAGTAACGATTGGCTGCCGAAGCATTCATTTAGTGAGGGATTTCAGAAAGAAGCACGTACTCACATTGGCAGGGGGGAAGATTCCTCGGCTTCTAGCGAAATGGGCAACGATGACAGCAGTAGACAGCCCTGCGACTGTCATTCGCCCTGGCAAGAGTCCTTCATATGGGCTTTTTGTTGCATTTGAGAGTCCAGCAGCTGGCTGTCGCTTGTACGAGAAGCACAGGCAACCCGCGTACACAAATACCCAGGTGAGCCAGCCGACCCATGATTCTTGCTGAATGGTCGGAGGCACATCTTTTGGGCAATAGTGTCTCCAAATGCTGCTCACAAGGCCGACCAGGACTGACACGAGGATCGTCGAAGAAGCCATCATCAAGTACAGTGCGAGGGCTCGAAAGAAGCGAATGCTTTTCGACGCTAGTTACAGAACGTTGGCGCATCCTTTACGAAACTCCACTTGTAAAAGGGTATCCAAGAAAACTTCAAAGGCTGCCAGCTTGCAGGTTAGAACAAGGAAGGAGTACATTTCAGGCCAGGGTTGTCATTAGGATGAGACGACTCCCTTTGTTTGGGGCTCGTGCGTTCCATCTTGACTCTCATGCTGCCAATGGCCCGCAAGCAAACAAACCGACACCCGTGGAATTCCAATCTTGGAGAGCGCAGCCCCGAGGCACCCCTTGCGAGCTCGAGGTCGTGCTCACAGTGGTATGGCTCACTCAAAGGTCTCATTCGGCTATAAATAGGCTCTTTGATCTGGTACGATGGACTTGATTCTTTAAACCAAACACGACAAAATGATTATCGTTTCAAGCAAAAGACCAGCTGATGTTCAAAAAGTCTTGAAAACGTGGTAGCACACTAATCACTATACCAAACCTCACTAGCCCAGTTGGGTGAGTGTGTCGTCCATTTTGGCAAGTCTCTAGCCCGATCCCGAGAACTCAATTTCCAGATAACAAGGTGGCTACCGGGAAGCACATGCAGTGATAATGTTCAGGTTTTCCGCTCAATGTGGTTGCTATAATAATATTCAAGCTTCTTACAGCATCGATCGTTGATTAAGAGGAATACAATGCAGTTCGACTGGCTATGACTTGCATCTCAAAGCCCATCTCTCACTACCATTAACCAATTAAACCCCACTTGGCCCTGGAGAGTAACACCAAGTATTCACGGTCAAGCACACCTTTCATTTGCACATTTCCTAGAACCCACGTCGAAGCAAAGTCGCTACAGAGGGACATTCAAATCAACGTGCCAGTCGAGGTGGCGGCACGACGGAACGACATACTTCGGCACCGAGCTTTCTGCACAACACCAATAACATACGGCAAGCTCCAATTATTTGACACAGTTCTGATAACCTTCCGTTGGGTTGCTTGAGAGAGTCCTGCAACTCTACAACTGACCTTGCTGAAGTCATGACTGTCGGTCGTTCGTCTGTGAGATAAATTTTCAAATTGTCTAGGCTTCTCTGCCTATCGTGACCCTGCGACATCGACACTCAGGGCGGTTTTCGACCTCGCGACTCGAGATTCAGGCAATTGGCTGAAGACGGAATCGCTCAAGTGTAGATAAAATCCAGTTGACGATTCGGTTGATTATGTGGCTCTGCTGATCTTTGGAGGCGCAAAGAACCCCAACTCTCACAGACCCTCGGTACACATTAAGAATTTGCGGATAGCTCCTTGGTCCTGGAGGATATATCATCAGACCATCTTCAGGATTTTGTTCTGCCGCCGTTGAGGGAGCTATAAGGCTCAAACTCTCTGTTTGATGGAGCTGTCTCGCAATTACCAGGAGCACCAATTCGTCCACTTGGACACGGGAGAAGAGATAAGATCGAATTATCGGCGACCTGTAGTGAAATCACGAGTCTTTCGGAGCAAGTTTTCGAAGGCTGCGGAAGCACCGCCTTTGGTGCGGCCGATCGGGAATAGTGGCTTGACCGAAGTTAAGAGACACTGAGCTGAACAGGTGCTGATCTTTCTGCTTGCAGATGCACCTGGCTGTTGGAGTCCAGGGCGAAATGGGCCCGGAGCGACTCGTACCCTGTCTTTTGTGCGTACACTGCAAAGGACGATGTTATCCTCCGACTTGTGGTGGAACATATGTTGTCTTCCTGGCGTTTCGATAAACTAAGCCGCATCCCGAGAGTGCCATGATCCATCTGCTCTTCATCTTGTTGCAATGCCCATACGACCGGCGTGTCTCAATCCGGTTCAAAGTTCGCGTCGTAGTCCTTCGCGGGATCTTCATAGACGAAAATAGTTGTCGCATTACTCGATAGACTATGAAGAGAGAGCGTGTGGCTTGCGACACTCTGGTTCGAAGCCGGCGAGTGCTCGCTGCTGTCTGACGATTCGGTACTCGATTCTCTTTTCGCAAAGCGCATTCGATCGTCTCGATCCCGAAGACTCGGTAGAAGCACGTCAAAGACATTCTCAACGTGAAGTCCTCTCAATTTGGCACTCTGGAAAGCCCTTTCCAGCCAGTCAGTAGCCACTTTGTGACCTGTCTTTTGATAATACGCAAATGCAAGATTTGCAGGAAAGTTGATAATGTTGGCGCCCCAAGCCCCCATCTCTGGTTGCAAGCAATAGGCAACACATCGGCAAATATTGGCCGCTTGACTTTCCGCATCAAACAGCCCCTTTAGCGTTGCACGGTCACTCGAGTCCAGTCGTTTATGATCTCGGAGATAGAGAGCCTGCAAGATCTCATTTCCCACTTCGCTCAATGCTAGCGAACACGTATGATAGACCAGACGTGCGTGGGCGAACAAGTGGTTTTCGAACCACAGGTCGGTAGCAAAAGGATAACCAGGCTGTTCGATTAGATCGTGTTCGACGACACGTGGTATCGCGCCCTTCTTTGTGCCATCCCTCCATTTATTCATTTTGGTCTGGAGGTCTCTGCATTCATCCAGCAGCCCAGCGAGCTCCGCAGTCGTATCAAAATCATATTCCCGGAGAATGTCGAATTTCTCCAGGATGCCCGGGATGAGAGTGCCAAGGTCAACCATCCTATCAAAATAGGTCCTGTGCTGGAACTCCCACGGTACTGTTCGCCACTCTTCTGAAGCCAAGTATGTCGCCTTTCTTTGTAGAATGGCAGCATAGATTGTGGGAATCCTCGAAGCCAGAAAGGGGTGATGAGCAAGCCAATTTTGATGATGCCTAGCGCCACGAAGTTGGATCAGTCGAGCCGCTCCTGCGGCATGTGCCACCCAGCTTCGCGAATTGAATGCTGGACCCTCAAAGACTTCATAGAGTCCCAACAGCATGCACGCCATGAGGACGTGATCGGAATGCATTCGTTGGGGGTCGAAGAGAGCGAGCTGCAGCTCTTTGAGTGCCTTGACGTAAAGCTTCGCGCTTTCATGAACAAGACGGACATCTCTGTGGCCTTGACCGACTCTTGAAATGCTCAAAGCTGAAAAGGCGTCCGCCAGGGAGACATCCTGTTTGGTGACATTTTGAATGACTTCTGTCCAATTCATGGGATGACCACACCGGATTATAAAGTCATCTCGGCATGCAGCATCTCCCTGAGGCATATAGAGGTCCCAAAATAGACTCTTGCATTGCGATTCCACAGCTCCCCGATTGACTGAGCCCGGGAGAGGAAGGATAGCGGGCCTGGTACGCGCGACAAAGATGGCATGCTCGACTTTCTTGCTCGCGGGATGAAGAATGAAGGTGCGCTCACGGTCGTAACCACCGCAGATGTTGCCAGTTGTGGCACATTGACCACAAACCGGACGTTTCTGATCGCACTAGAGCAATGGGGTGAGCAGGTGTGAGGCGAAGTTAGCTCTGTCCGCAGTACTTACTCCCTTTTTGCGCCGACGGCAGGTGCTGCAGCCTTTGCTTTTCCCAGGGACGCCAACCATTGCTATCAAGTGATCAAGCGAGGAGCGGGTGCAAGAAGTAGCCAAATATATCTCGCGCGAGGGTCGAGCCGAGTCTCATCTTGCGACAGGAAGTTCATGCGTGTAAGGAGGTTCCATGAGTGCCCGATCGAGCATGGGCATGTCGATTCAGGTGTCCGGATAGATGCTGTCGCATCCTCTAGAGCGCAGAGAAGCGAGCGCAGTTTAGGATTGTCAATACCGTGGGCGTAAGATGCCAATAAGTATTCGGTAAGCACGAGTCGAGTCGCAGTTGAGGGGACAGAACTGTACCGAGTAAGGCGGGCAGGCCGCATATGGATAGTTCCGACAGCCATGGGGGGTCATTTCATGTCGGCCGTGTGGGAGACCTACTCCGTACCTGCGATGCCTTGGAGATGCAGGATGATCATGCAACGGGGGAGGCCTAGGATAGCTCCCACAAGGGTGGAAGAAGCAGAATTAAGTGGTGCATGTGCTAGGCCTGGGGCGAATGAAAGCTGCAAAATCCCCCGGAATCTCAGGCTAATGAGGATTATGTCACTCCCAGTTTTGTTAGTGGACAACCTACCGGAAACGGAGACAGCCATTCCCATCAAACTTTGGGGTGTCGCAATTGGGCTTATAGGGTTTGGGGGGTGCTGCCGGGGGCGGTCGATCCCTAAGGAGTCGTCGCCAGTCGGCGTCTGACATGCTGCATAAGTGCTTCGCCTCGGCACCGGTCAGTGTTTGTCATTGCCTGTCAGTGCCAATCAGTGCCCCGCCAATTTCCCAGCGGCCCCCCTGGCGCATGCCGCATGATGCACGCTGCATGCGGTGTGTCCTGGCCAGTGTTGTGAAAATAGATTTCATAAATACAGCGTCACATTCCTGACCTGTTTATTTCAGTATTATAGATGTAATCTTTCCAAAGTTCCTGGGAGCCAAGGAGCTAGTTTATTAGCGTTTTCCTAGTAAACTAGTTCGTGGTTGACCCTTCAGGAGGCATAAAAACCTGCCTGATTTGACGCCCAATAGGCCTGTGTGCCTTGAGAATAGGGCCCTATCTGAGGGCCTATCTGCGTGCCAATCTGCGTGCCAATCTGCGTGCCAATCTGCAGTTGCGACTGTGCCTGTGAATAGGCTAGAAATGGCGGTAGAGATAGGTTGGCAGCAGGACTAGGCGCAGATTCTATAGAAGATTGCTGGTCTGCCATGTCTTCTGTCATAATTGCTGTAGCGAGGTCCTCCGCCGCAATGCCCTGTTCGTGTTGTTCCTCTTGTTCCTGCGCGATCTCTCTATCGCGATCGTTTTGTGCCATTGTCGCGCGCCGATCGATCGTCTCGCGCCGTCGAAGGGCGATCTCGTTGATGCGTG